TATGAAATTATATGTTCCCATTTGTCGTCTGTATGTAATCAGATGTTTCAACTTATCATCGGTATGAAATTATATGTTCCCATTTGTCATCTCCATTTAATCAGATGTATACGTAATTAATGGACACACCAGTAAATTGAAAATGTTCCACACATTGCTCTCCTATTATCAGTATTAGGTATGAAAAAAATATTTATACTATACATTTATTGTATAAGTAAATTTATACTATTTATTTATTTGAAACATCCATCTAGGTCATTGGTCGGCAACCTGCGGCCACGGAGCCGCATGCAGTTGTTGGAAGTTATAGTTATGGCCTTTTGGTAACATTTGGCTCTTTGGTAGCAAATATGTAATAACTTCCGGCTCTTTGGTAGCAAATATGTAATAACTTCCGGCTCTTTGGTAGCAAATATGTAATAACTTCCGGCTCTTTGGTAGCAAATATGTAATAACTTCCGGCTCTTTGGTAGCAAATATGTAATAACTTCCGGCTCTTTGGTAGCAAATATGTAATAACTTCCGGCTCTTTGGTAGCAAATATGTAATAACTTCCGGCTCTTTGGTAGCAAATATGTAATAACTTCCGGCTCTTTGGTAGCAAATATGTAATAACTTCCGGCTCTTTGGTAGCAAATATGTAATAACTTCCGGCTCTTTGGTAGCAAATATGTAATAACTTCCGGCTCTTTGGTAGCAAATATGTAATAACTTCCGGCTCTTTGGTAGCAAATATGTAATAACTTCCGGCTCTTTGGTAGCAAATATGTAATAACTTCCGGCTCTTTGGTAGCAAATATGTAATAACTTCCGGCTCTTTGGTAGCAAATATGTAATAACTTCCGGCTCTTTGGTAGCAAATATGTAATAACTTCCGGCTCTTTGGTAGCAAATATGTAATAACTTCCGGCTCTTTGGTAGCAAATATGTAATAACTTCCGGCTCTTTGGTAGCAAATATGTAATAACTTCCGGCTCTTTGGTAGCAAATATGTAATAACTTCCGGCTCTTTGGTAGCAAATATGTAATAACTTCCGGCTCTTTGGTAGCAAATATGTAATAACTTCCGGCTCTTTGGTAGCAAATATGTAATAACTTCCGGCTCTTTGGTAGCAAATATGTAATAACTTCCGGCTCTTTGGTAGCAAATATGTAATAACTTCCGGCTCTTTGGTAGCAAATATGTAATAACTTCCGGCTCTTTGGTAGCAAATATGTAATAACTTCCGGCTCTTTGGTAGCAAATATGTAATAACTTCCGGCTCTTTGGTAGCAAATATGTAATAACTTCCGGCTCTTTGGTAGCAAATATGTAATAACTTCCGGCTCTTTGGTAGCTAATATGTAATAACTTCCGGCTCTTTGGTAGCAAATATGTCATAACTTCCGGCTCTTTGGTAGCAAATATGTCATAACTTCCGGCTCTTTGGTAGCTAATATGTCATAACTTCCGGCTCTTTGGTAGCAAATATGTAATAACTTCCGGCTCTTTGGTAGCAAATATGTAATAACTTCCGGCTCTTTGGTAGCAAATATGTAATAACTTCCGGCTCTTTGGTAGCAAATATGTAATAACTTCCGGCTCTTTGGTAGCTAATATGTAATAACTTCCGGCTCTTTTTAGCAAATATGTAATAACTTCCGGCTCTTTGGTAGCAAATATGTAATAACTTCCGGCTCTTTCGTAGCAAATATGTAATAACTTCCGGCTCTTTGGTAGCAAATATGTAATAACTTCCGGCTCTTTGGTAGCAAATATGTAATAACTTCCGGCTCTTTGGTAGCTAATATGTAATAACTTCCGGCTCTTTTTAGCAAATATGTAATAACTTCCGGCTCTTTGGTAGCAAATATGTAATAACTTCCGGCTCTTTCGTAGCAAATATGTAATAACTTCCGGCTCTTTGGTAGCAAATATGTAATAACTTCCGGCTCTTTGGTAGCAAATATGTAATAACTTCCGGCTCTTTGGTAGCTAATATGTAATAACTTCCGGCTCTTTGGTAGCAAATATGTAATAACTTCCGGCTCTTTGGTAGCTAATATGTAATAACTTCCGGCTCTTTGGTAGCAAATATGTCATAACTTCCGGCTCTTTGGTAGCTAATATGTAATAACTTCCGGCTCTTTGGTTGCTAATATGTAATAACTTCCGGCTCTTTGGTAGCAAATATGTAATAACTTCCGGCTCTTTGGTAGCAAATATGTAATAACGTCCGGCTCTTTGGTAGCAAATATGTAATAACTTCCGGCTCTTTGGTAGCTAATATGTAATAACTTCCGGCTCTTTGGTAGCAAATATGTAATAACTTCCGGCTCTTTGGTAGCAAATATGTAATAACTTCCGGCTCTTTGGTAACTAATATGTAATTGCTTGGCTTCACATTGGTGTACATGTCATTGACAAGCATGGCTTCACACCGGTGTACATGACATTGACAAGCATGGCTTCACATTGATGTACATGTCATTGACAAGCTTGACTCTACACTGGTGTACATGTTATTGACAAGCTTGACTCTACAATGGTGTACATGTCATTGACAAGCATGGCTTCACATTGGTGTACATGTCATTGACAAGCATGGCTTCACATTGGTGTACATGTCATTGACAAGCATGGCTTCACATTGGTGTACATGTCATTGACAAGTATGGCTTCACATTGTTGTACATGACATTGACAAGCATGGCTTCACATTGGTGTACATGTCATTGACAAGCTTGACTCTACACTGGTGTACATGTTATTGACAAGCTTGACTCTACATTGGTGTACATGTCATTGACAAGCTTGGCTTCACATTGGTGTACATGTCATTGACAAGCATGGCTTCACATTGGTGTACATTTCTTTGACAAGCATGGCTTCACATTGGTGTACATGTCATTGACAAGTATGGCTTCACATTGTTGTACATGACATTGACAAGCATGGCTTCACATTGGTGTACATGTCATTGACAAGCATGGCTTCACATTGGTGTACATGCCATTGACAAGCATGGCTTCACATTGGTGTACATGTCATTGACAAGCATGGCTTCACATTGGTGTACATGTCATTGACAAGCATGGCTTCACATTAGTGTACATGTCATTGACAAGCATGGCTGCACATTGATGTACATGTCAAATCTGAAAAAAACCCACAAAAAACAACGAATATCCAAAGTCGTGAGCTATTATCTCAAATGTTAAAACACACGACAAAACGTATCTAAAGTGAGCTTCCTGGAGCCGATCAAAAAACTGTTGGAACCACTGATGGAACCACTGTTGGAACCACTGATGGAACCACTGTTGGAACCACTGATTGCACCACACAGAATCATATATTTTCTGCAATAAGCCTTGGGCTTGGAGTAGCAGCCACTTTGAACAGCCTTGTACATCTGCTCAACTGCTGTAACCATTTCAATGTACTGCTTGCTTTTATCTGTTGTGGCCCATTTCAGTTTTGTCCCATCCAAAATCGACCTCTTTGAAAATGGGTGTTCGATGCCTGTCACGATGAGACGCTAGTTGTTCGGTCACTTTCAAGATCCCTATCGGCTTCTGACTCCGGGAACACAAAGCAAACAACTGAAAAGTATCGGTCTCATCTGTTGGCTCAGTCAGGTGCAATGTAAAAAACAGTCAAACTCTTTGGCACCGTCCACCGTTTGGAACACACGATATCGCCCGCCCAGAGCATCCACTTCACGAGCAAGCGCTATTCGCCGAAAGGTTAAATGTCTTTTGAGGAAGTCTACTTTTTCGTACACTTTCGGCACGAAGTGAAAGAGCTCGGTGGTGCCAGATTTTTTATGAAACATTTCGATTGGACTGCGGAACTTTTGAGACCAAACGAACATATATACAAGGATATTTTTTACCTTAATTGTATTTTTTTATGGAAGTCTTTTATTAAATTTATGTCGCTAAGCCAGAGTGGCCTAAACGCTAGGCCGTAGGGCCTAGACCTACACTTTCCCAAATAGACTTAAACTAAAAATGTCACATTTCTCCCATAGAGTTGGGACGAAGAGTCCATATTAATTTTGCACATTGATAAAACTGATGTCACAACGAACGTTTCCTCTCAGATGTTGATTTAGTTTGATAGCGATTTTTTAAATATCACAAAGATTACATTAATTTAACGTAATAAGCTTCAGGCGGCCCGGATAAACACAGCCCGCGGGCCGTAGTTTGCTGACACCTGACCTAAGCCAGTGCTTGCTTACCTTAGCTCACCGGACCACTAGGGCGTCCCCCTCTCTGTCTGTCTGTCTGTCTCTCTCTTTCTCTCTCTCTCAGTCTCTTTCGCTTGCTCTATTTTTATGTCTCTGTCTCTCTCTCTGTCTCTCTCTCCGTCTCCATTTTAACTTTTTGATTAACACTAAACACTGCTTCATGTAGTACATATATTATAAGTTTATTCATAAGGTATAGAAAGTTTCAAGATTGAAAGATACATTACTATAATTATGATGAAGCATATTAACACTCTGAAGTCTTAAGAAAATATATTCATATATATGTACAGATAAATATGATAAGAAAAAAGGAATATTTATAAATTAGCAAGTAGCAAGATGTGTCGAAAGAAAGGGGAAAAAAAGACATTTAATATAGATAACGTTTTGTTGAAACTATTATGCTCTAGATAAAGCTATAAATGACCTATCATAATAGGTTTGATGGGTTTGAGGAAAGGTCCACCACTTTGTAAATGTTTGAAAGACGTATTTTTCCCACATCGAAAAATTTCCCGTTTCTCTTTTAGTAGGCGTTCCGCTTGTAATAAAAATATCCGCTCACACCCTGTGGAGGTGTGTTGAAACTTATAAAAAACGTCAACATTGATTGGTCTGCTGCTGACACCCCAGGGGGCGCGCTGTGTAGTCTTAATTGAAGCATAAACCCAAGAAATCAGTCTTCTAGATTGTCCTTTAACCCTGTTCTTCTCCGCATGATGTCCAGTCCGGTTGCACATAGCTCTAACTGGAGGCTCACTTCCTCAGCGTGTTGCAGACGTCACAGAACTTCCTGCAGTACCGGTGGGCGTCGACGAAGTAGTCGCAGATGGGGTACGACGAGGTGTTCATGCGGTAGCAGTCCTCGAAGGTCAGCTGGTCGACGCAGACGCCAGGGTGGATGGTGGGGCAGTCGTCCTCGTCCGCGAAGTCGCCGCAGTCGTTGTCCCCGTCGCATCTGTAGCTCTGAGGAATGCACTTGCCCTTGGGGCATTTGAACTGGCTGGAAGGGCACGTGCAGCTTATCTCGTCACTTCCGTCACCGCAGTCGTTGTCAGTGTCACACTGAAAGTTAACATGGAAAACAATAGTTGTCAGTAGCACACTGAAAGATAGGATTGAAAACTTAATGGTTGGAAAAACACGCCAAGAGAATTTGTTTTAAAGTGAAGTTATGGAATAAGACTACCGTACAAAAATACAAAAATCATCGTGACACATTATAAATACAACATTTTTGGTTGAGTTACGCATCTGGGTTGTTCAATTGATATTGGAATTCATAAAAACATGAAACAATGTGTGTTACAAAATTTCTGGATACTAAAGTGACTGAATAGCCATAAAAATGAAACAGTGAAAACAATCTATGTTTCCAAAGAAGTCACCTCAGATGTGCAGTCAACAGAAAGTAAACACAGGACTAATCTGCTTAAAGTAGTCAGTCGTATGAACTGTCCAAAAGTTACCCCCCCCCCCCCCCCCCCCCCCCCCCCC